CTTGTCCAGTGTTTGCTGCACAGAGAGAATAAAGTGTTGTATTTGCCAAAAATGTACCTCAGCTCTATCACAGACTGATCTTCCTTGGCTGCCTGACCCTGCTGAGACCCTGTCACCATCTGATCCTCCTAAGATGAGGCATGACAAAGAATGACCTTGGTGTACATTTATACATTATATTATCCAAGAATAGAATCAATGGTTCAATTATTGAAATGACCATTATTCCCATATCCCAGACTGTAGCTTAAGCTGCTGTCCTGTAGCTAGTGTAGGTCTACCCATCAACTCAAGATGGAACTTTGTATTGTTCACTGATATTGTTAATATACTGTAAAAGTCACCTGAGCTCCGTAGACTGGTCTTCCCTGGCTGTCTGACCCTGCTGGGACACCTGTCACCATCTGATCCTACTAAGACATGATGAGCATAGTGTTGTGTACTGACTGTGCACCATGACAGTGAAGACTGTAGAGCTGTTTATTACTGTGTTTGTGTGAAAAGTTGGGAATTAGCTAGGGAAACTGACAGATCAATAATGTTACATTGCTATACTGACTAATAAAAACTCACATTGCAATGAAAAAAGGTCAGAATATCCGTCTTCAATCGTTTGGCCGCTGGTTTCATCATTTGATTCAGGTCTGGTGTGATTGAGGCAAATATACTAGCTAACGTTAGCCAACTTTTGGCCAGCTCTAACGATATATCAACTGGCGAAAGCTAGCCAAGTTAATTTAGTTATGTTGAAACAGGACAAAACAAAGGCCACAAAACATTTCCATACAAACAACAGCTTCACTGATGATCAGTCAACTAATGAGTAGACAGTTTCTGCTCTGCTTGCTTTTACAACTTGGAGAAAGAGTGCAACACACTGACAGCAGCTGCCTCTGTTCAACTCTCCGGTGATGTTCCAGTCAGCCTTCCAGAAGCTTTGCCTTTCACACAGCCTGCCCGCCTGCTCTGTGGTGTCCACATAGTCCTAAATCCAGACCTCTGAAAAATCCAGTCTACCCGACCGCTCTGAGACGTCCACATGGTCCTAAAGCACACTGCTGCCGCTTTTTGTATCACATTGCAATTATCCGTTTTTTGCATCACATTGCAATGATAAAACTGGGCGGGACAAAAGTGCAATTTCAGAATGTGGGGGGCACATGACCCCCCCTTCCCTAGTGAAAGTTGCACCACTGGTAATTTAACACATTTGACACTAGAATTGTGTTCATTTGCAGGTAGAAATGTGTTCAACAGCCACTGAAGTAGCTAGCAAGTTTACTAGATAGCTACAGTAGTTGCCTTGGTAACAAACAAACAGACTTGCTAGTTTAGCTAACCAAACCATCAGTCCTATCTTGCTATTATGAAAATTAAATTCAACAACGCCAATGTTTTCAATTCTACTTTTGCTTTCAAAAGCAGCTCAATAGAAAATGTAAGAATGAACTATAGCCATTGAATTATGCTGTGCTGATATACTGTGTGTTATGTAAGCAATAATGCCTGAGGAGGTGTGGTATATGGCCAATATACCACAGCTAAGGGCTGATCACCTTCCGGAGACACTTGAAACCCTACCTCTTTAAGGAATACCTGGAATAGTATAACAGTAATCCTTCTACACCCCCCCCCCCCCCCCCTCCCCCCAGTGGTGGTTGTCCCACTGGCTATCCTAAGTTGAATGCACCAATTTGTTAGTCGCTCTGGATAAGAGCGTCTGCTAAATGACTTAAATGTAAATGTACCGCAGAAATGGAATCACAGAAAATAGATGTTGTGGTGGCAGCTGCAGAGAAAAATGTGGGTATACGAGATTTGACTTCAGAAGAGTTACAGGGTGTGTTGAGTCGGGGTGTCCCGTCCTCAGAGGCCATTGGCATGGTGTAGGAGCAAATAGGGTCAAAGTAGCGGAATGGGCTAGTGGGTTTTTAATGAGTGTAGGTGGCAGCTGCAGAGAAGTACCTAGGTGAATGAGATTTTACTTCAGAAGAGTTGTAAGATGTTTTGAGATGTTTTATGAAATAGTGATATATACAGTGGGGGAAAAAAGTATTTAGTCAGCCACCAATTGTGCAAGTTCTCCCACTTAAAAAGATGAGAGAGACCTGTAATTTTCATCATAGGTACACGTCAACTATGACAGACAAATTGAGAAAAAAAATCCAGAAAATCACATTGTAGGATTTGTAATGAATTTATTTGCAAATTATGGTGGAAAATAAGTATTTGGTCACCTACAAACAAGCAAGATTTCTGGCTCTCACAGACCTGTAACTTCTTCTTGTCCTCCACTCGTTACCTGTATTAATGGCACCTGTTCGAACTTGTTATCAGTATAAAAGACACCTGTCCACAACCTCAAACAGTCACACTCCAAACTCCACTATGGCCAAGACCAAAGAGCTGTCAAAGGACACCAGAAACAAAATTGTAGACCTGCACCAGGCTGGGAAGACTGAATCTGCAATAGGTAAGCAGCTTGGTTTGAAGAAATCAACTGTGGGAGCAATTATTAGGAAATGGAAGACATACAAGACCACTGATAATCTCCCTCGATCTGGGGCTCCACGCAAGATCTCACCCCGTGGGGTCAAAATGATCACAAGAACGGTGAGCAAAAATCCCAGAACCACACGGCGGGACCTAGTGAATTACCTGCAGAGAGCTGGGACCAAAGTAACAAAGCCTACCATCAGAAACACACTACGCCACCAGGGACTCAAATCCTGCAGTGCCAGACGTGTCCCCCTGCTTAAGCCAGTACATGTCCAGGCCCGTCTGAAGTTTGCTAGAGTGCATTTGGATGATCCAGAAGAGGATTGGGAGAATGTCATATGGTCAGATGAAACCAAAATAGAACTTTTTGGTAAAAACTCAACTCGTCGTGTTTGGAGGACAAAGAATGCTGAGTTGCATCCAAAGAACACCATACCTACTGTGAAGCATGGGGGTGGAAACATCCTGCTTTGGGGCTGTTTTTCTGCAAAGGGACCAGGACGACTGATCCGTGTAAAGGAAAGAATGAATGGGGCCATGTATCGTGAGATTTTGAGTGAAAACCTCCTTCCATCAGCAAGGGCATTGAAGATGAAACGTGGCTGGGTCTTTCAGCATGACAATGATGCCAAACACACCGCCCGGGCAACGAAGGAGTGGCTTCGTAAGAAGCATTTCAAGGTCCTGGAGTGGCCTAGCCAGTCTCCAGATCTCAACCCCATAGAAAATCTTTGGAGGGAGTTGAAAGTCTGTGTTGCCCAGCGACAGCCCCAAAACATCACTGCTCTAGAGGAGATCTGCATGGAGGAATGGGCCTAAATACCAGCAACAGTGTGTGAAAACCTTGTGAAAACCTAGTGGTCCTCTGTAGCTCAGCTGGTAGAGCACGGCGCTTGTAACGCCAAGGTAGTGGGTTCGATCCCCGGGACCACCCATACACAAAAAAAATGTATGCACGCATGACTGTAAGTCGCTTTGGATAAAAGCGGCTGCTAAATGGCATATTATTATTATTATTATTGTGAAGACTTACAGAAAACGTTTGACCTGTGTCATTGCCAACAAAGGGTATATAACAAAGTATTGAGAAACTTTTGTTATTGACCAAATACTTATTGTCCACCATAATTTGCAAATAAATTCATTAAAAATCCTACAATGTGATTTTCTGGATTTTCTTTTCTAATTTTGTCTGTCATAGTTGGCGTGTACCTATGATGAAAATTACAGGCCTTTCTCATCTTTTTAAGTGGGAGAACTTGCACAATTGGTGGCTGGCTAAATACTTTTTTTCCCCACTGTAGGTGTAGGGTTGGTTGGTGGTATATAGTGATATATAGGTGTAGGGTTGGTTGGTGGTATATAGTGATATATAGGTGTAGGGTCGGTTGGTGGTATATAGTGATGTGTAGGGTCAGTTGGTGGTATATAGTGATATATAGGTGTAGGGTCGGTTGGTGGTGTATAGTGATATATAGGTGTAGGGTTGGTTGGTGGTATATAGTGATATATAGGTGTAGGGTCGGTTAGTGGTATATAGGTATATCTAAGTTGAATGAACCAATTTGTAAGTCGCTCTGGATAAGAGTGTCTGCTAAATGACTTAAATGTAAATGTAAATCTTATGCACCACGCAATGCGGAGTGCCTGGATACAGCCCTTAGCCATGGTATATTGGCATACCACAAACTCCTGAGATGCCTTATTGCTATTATAAACTGGTTACCAACGTAATTAGGCCAGTAAATAGTAATTGTTGGTCACACCCATGGTATACAGTCTGATATACCACGGCTTTCAGACATCAGCATTAAGGGCTAGAACCAGCCGGTTTATAAAGGGAAATAATGCACGCTCTAGAATGCCCTTCAAGCCAATCAGAAACAAGTATTCAACAACGCCATGGAAGAGGAAGAGAGAGGCCCAACTCTAAGGAAAATCTGTCTCCCTCCAGCAGGCGGCGTTTTTTTCGTTGTTTCGTCGTTTATTTGCAATGTGAGGTTTATTTGATCGAATAGAAGTTTCGTAATGCTTAAGTTGTTACGAGTGTACTGATATAAGTAGGACACGTGACATCACTGCAACTTTGATGAAAAACACTTTATATCGGAGTTGTCTCGAGATGGCTACACATTCATGGTATGAGGCTAGTAGCATAGCATCTCTCTCCGGTGAATACAGGCGGTTGACGTCAACAACCCTCATCGAATATTCAAAAAATATTACAATAATGAGATGTATCCACTAAAGAAAGTAGAGGCGAGAACTAGACAGCCCATTGTTAGGGCGGAGAGACATGTGTCTTGTCAGTATGTCCATAATCTTAGGTAAAATTCAATTTAAACAGCAAACAGGACATGCAAGTGTATGCTGACGCTACAAATTTTATAAGAAGGCGTTTCTGTTTTCAGCTCTGTGATTGGTCATACAGCTGTCAACTCCACAGTATATATTTCCAGGCGAACCAATCAGCGCGCGCGTAGTTGGCTAGTGGACCCGGTGCGCAGAGGCCGACACCGGTAGCTAGCTAGTAGCTAGATGTGAAGAAGGAGAAGAAGTGGCGTAGGACTATGGACCCGGTGAACAATGCTGAGACAGGAGAGACAGAAACCGAACTGGAGCCGTGCTACGTTCTCATTCCGAAAGAAACACGATGCAAGAAGAAGGAGCAGGAAAAACTGTCCGGAGTCGTCAAGAACGTCCATAGAAAGCTGCGAAGAAAATACCGAGAAGGTACGCTGCGCTTTACTCAATTCAGGGGTACGGAGTCTCTCAGCAAACGGGCTATTTCAATTGTTCGAAAACAAGGCCCTGATTAGGTAGTTGATGTTAATTCCTATTTTTGGGGCCTTGCACAAACTGCAAGTGACTGGCAACATGTCAGGGTCTCTCTGCTCTACTATCTTAAAAACATTGTCATGCAATCATACTACATGTTGTTAACGTTACATTCACTTATTTTTAACCAAAGGTTAGACGAACGCTAGATCAGGGCCGCCTGTGAATATTTCAATCTGTAGTGTGCATTTTAAACTAGGCTATGCTTGCCTTGTTTGTCCCTAATTAGATGATTTGGCAGTCATCAATTTTGTTATAATAATCGCCTCTCTTACAGCCCTACAGTGATTTGGTAAGGTTGTTAAATGATAACATATTGGATCATGGGTACTGGCAGAGCGATCAACCAGGGTTGTATGGCATTTTGTGTGACGTCAGGGGTGTATTCAATTGTCCGATTCCCTAGCAAAATGTTTGGTCTGTTGCTAAATGTTTAGCAACGGAAACCGTTTACTCCAATCGGGAAACGTTTTGCAACGAAAACGAGAGTTTCTATTGGACAAATTCAGGTTGGTTTGTTTTGCAAACGTTTTGCAACGGAATCCGACTAAGGAATACACCCCTATTCTGAAACTGAAAAGAACAAGACCCTACAAGTAAAACATCAAGTTCATGCTCATCCAATATGGGATGTTATGAGACACAGGCATATGCCAATAGTATGAACACATACTCATCCAGAGTTGCTCAATTGAGTCTGTTGTGAACAAACATTTTCTAACATGTACTTCAAAGTGGACTCTGAAAGGTCTAGTATTGAGACAGAATCCTCCTATCTCCTTGGTAGTAACTCCAATATTTAGGTCCTTTCATTGAAAACAGTGCCCAAAGGTAAAGAAAACAACATGCTTTTCCATATTGGACCCTTCACGTATCATTGGTCACAAAGCAAGCAACATAAAGAGGTCAGGAGATGAATGAAGGCATTTCTAGTTCAGTTCACTTTATTGGCTTTTGCAGGAATTTGTCTTCCATTCGGACGTAGGGCAGGCAGTACAGATGTAACCAATGGAGGAATCTGCCAGTAAACGTATTCCTAATAGGGCAGGGAATTGCCAGGGACCTCACGATACGATATTATCATGATATTTAGGGGCCGATACGGTATGTATTGCGATACTGTGATTTTATTGCGATTCGACGTTCCAAACATATTGCTCACCATACAGTGCCTTCTGAAAGTATTCACACCCCTTGACTTTTCCCCCACATTTTGTTGTGATACAAAATGGGATTAAAATTGATTTGTCTTTTTTTTTTTTTACAACGATCTACACAAAATACTCATGTTGAAGTGGAAGAAAAATTCAAACATTTGTAAAATAAAACACTAATATCTTGATTAGATAAGTAGGCAGTATTACTTTAGTGCCTTCTTGCAAACAGGATGCATGTTTTGGAATATTTGCATTATGTACAGGCTTCATTCTTTCACTCTTTTAATTAGGTTAGTATTGTGAAGTAACTACAATGTTGTTGATCCATCCTCAGTTTTCTCCTATCACAGCTATTAAACTCTGTAACTGTTTTAAAGTCACCATTGGCCTCTTGGTGAAATCCCTGAGTGGTTTCCTTCCTCTCTGGCAACTGAGTTAGGAAGTACACCTGTATATTTATAGTGACTGAGTGTATAGATACAGGCTTTCCATAACAAAGGGGTTGAATACGTATTGACTCAAGACATTTCAGCTTTTCATTTTCGAAAAACATAATTCCACATTGACATCATGGTTGTGTGTGTAGGCCAGTGACGACAAAATCTCAATTTTAAATTCAGGCTGTAACACAACAAAATGTGGAAAAAGTCAAGGGGTGTGAATACTTTCTGAAGGCACTGTATGCCTGCTGCAGAGGGACAAGAGAGAGCATGCGAACTAGTTTTGATCAGTCATGGAAATAAAGGTGCTGAAAACAAATTGGCTCCCTATCTAAAAAGAAGATGGAGAACAAGGTATGAAGGAAAAATACTGGTGTTTTGGTGCAAAGATTATATTGTTAATAGGATACTGTACATATAAAACATTCTATCCTAATATGTAACACACCCACCCCATTCTTACTGAAAGAATGTCCAGTGCCACAGTTTCAGTTTGTCTTCGTTGTGTTAAGTTATTCTACCAGTTGAATGGTTGATTTGCCCTGTGCTCTTATGTTGTGATTATCAAACTGGGCAGCGTCTAGGGGCTAGATTCAATCCATAGTGCTGAAGAGCTGCGTTGCAGCGTGATATCAAAATGTAAAGGCAGTGTTCCCGTGTTAGCAGAGACTGCATTCAAGGTAAACGCTGCATATGTCGGCTCAATCGGAAATTACCTTTACATTTTAAATTGCGCTGTAACGCCGAACTTCAGCGCTACGGCTTGTAGCTCAGTTGGTAGAGCATGGCGTTTGCAACGCCAGGGTTGTGGGTTCGATTCCCACGGGGGGGAAATAAAAAAATAATGTATGCACTCACTAACTGTAAGTCGCTCTGGATAAGAGCGTCTGCTAAATGACTAAAAATGTAAAAAATGAATCCAGCCCTAGGCTTATTAGTATTTTTGCTCTGCAGCCTATGTTTTTTGTTTTGTTCATCTACCTTTGGTTTGGCTAGATGCCGGGCTGCTGAAAAATAGCAACATGTATGAATATGTATATTTCCTACTGTATTGCAATCATCACACAAAATAAGTACAAAAAAACAGTAGCATTCAACAGGTCCTTTCCACTCTAGCAGAAGGACTGGCTAGCTGATGCTCCAGAAAATACCCTGTCAGCTGACACCATGATTGGTTAATAAGTAAAGCATGATCTGGTCTGCTTGGCCTTGGTACCACAGTAATCATGATCTGGTCTGCTTGGCCTTGGTACCACAGTAATCATGAACTGGTCTGCTTGGCCTTGGTACCACAGTAATCATGTTTATTCCAGCTCGTCTTGTTGTCGTTTCATTTCTGCAAATCTGATATAGGTTTTTTCCCTTGTGGTCATGGGATTTCTTCCTTATCAGCATGTTTGCTCTCGAAACACACATTCTGCTGTGCGTCTGGGAAGACCTGTTGCAGGGAATTTGTGACGATATAGGCCTAGGAACAGATGTGAAGACTTCTATTGAAAATCCTGTTTTCAGATATGCCTCTAATGCCTGAAGGATCATGACGAGTAACTGTTTTGAAAATGTTGAAGCAATTTTGCGTCAGAAGTTTTAACCTGTGGTGTTCATTTGTGAAGAGCTGAACGATTGTGATTCCTTATTGATTGAATGGCCACACTTTACAAGTAAGTACATTCATGTTGGCTTATTGTGTAGTCTACGTACGTACTATGCTTGCGAGTAATTTTTATAAACAAAACTGACAGGACTAACTTTCAATTCCTACCATTTGTAATGATGAATTTGAATGTGATGAAATGAAATGGAAAACAAAGCATCAGTGTCTGGCCCACATTCATGTAGCCTACAGTGCTTAGTAGTTTTACTAACTGTATGTCATACTGTATGGTGTGAGGTGATTTTAGTTGGGTTGGGTTTGTTAACTCAGTTTCAACCTCCTGCTGCCTGTTAACTTTCCACAGTGGGTGATTTTGAGAAGATCTGGCGGGAGCACTGTGAAGATGAACAGACTCTGAGTGAATATGCCCTGGCCATGAGGAACCTGGCTGACAACCACTGGGCCAAGACCTGCGAGGGAGAGGGACGCATCGAGTGGTGTCGCAGGTAAAATAGTCCCCCACAAAAGGAGACAATGTAAATAACCCTCTGGCTGTACTAGCTCAGAACTCCACTGCTCTATGCTTACTCCGATTACTCATCCAGCCCTTTGGATAGCAACACTGTAGGGTAAATCCTAACTTCTGCTTGTTGAATTTTCACTTAGTCATGCATTGATTCCAATGGAAAGTTAGGATTTTACCCTTTATTTCTTTGCACATCACTGTCGTTTTAACAGTGAGACATTAATACCATTTATGTGTGATGTTTCGGGACAACTTTTTCCAGTGTTTGCCAGGAGTATTTCCTGGCTGGTGGGATGAAGAGAATGTTGGAGAAGGATGAGAAGAGTGCCAGGCTTGCCATGGCCATGTCGGCCACAGCGCTGAGTGACCAGCCCTATAGCTCCTCTATCCCCAGGTACTGGATTGTGACAGTGTTAAATCAAACATCAATTTTTATCGGACTATTTTGCTCGGTTGTGCGTTCATATTGACACATCTTACTTCTATTAGCTACTGCTCTCATTAAGCATGCTCACTGTATGTTGGATTTAACGCTCACTTAACGGCTCTGATTTCTCTGGTTGCAGGTCCATCCCCCAGCTTGGTAAAATGCGGCTGCTGGATGTTGGCAGCTGTTTTAACCCCTTCCTGAAGTTTGACGAGTTCCTCACAGTCGGTATTGACATAGTGCCTGCGGTCGAGGTATGTACTATTACTGTCCGTGATCACTCCCTCGGTCCCTGCTAGAATTCCTGACTCTTACTGTCTTACTCACTCATCTGCTGCCAGGACAAAATGTCAGGGGTTTTCTAGACTTGTAGCTAGCTCATTGTGTGAATATCAGACCACAGAACAATGCTGTCCCTTGACAGGGACTGTCAACACTTGATGGAAATTAAACCTGACCTGCTGTGAAGGAACTGGCAGAATGTTAGCGTCGAATGGATTAAGAACAGTGGGTCTTGGATGTGGGTCTAAAATGCCACTGCATGATCAGAACAACTTGAGTGATGCTCTAAAGTATCTGTTTCTACCCTCTCCCACCCAGAGTGTATACAAGTGTGACTTCCTCAACCTCCAGCTCCAGCAGCCTCTGCAGCTGGCTGGCGACGCTGTCGAAGCCTTCCTGAGACAGCTGCGTAGCCCCATCGACGCCCTGCCCGCCCAGCTCTTCCACGTGGTAGTCTTCTCCCTGCTCCTCTCCTACTTCCCCTCGCCTTACCAGCGCTGGATCTGCTGCAAGAAGGCCCACGAGCTTCTGGAACTGCACGGCCTGCTGCTCATCATCACCCCAGACTCCTCCCACCAGAACCGCCACTCCCTCATGATGCGCAGCTGGCGCGTGGCGGTGGAGTCGCTTGGCTTCAGGCGTTGCAAGTACATCAAGTTCTCCCACATGCACCTCATCGCCTTCCGCAAGGTGTCCCTGGCCACCACCAGCGACCTGGTCAGCCGTAACTACCCCGAGATGCTCTACATCCCTCAGGACTTCCAATCCCCCGAGGAGGAGGACTACACCGATGTGCCAGTTCAGGCGCGCTCCGACTTCGAGGATGACCAGCTGGCGTGGGGCTTCACGGAGCTGCCCGACACACCATATGACTCAGATAGCGGAGAGAGCCAGAGCAGCTCTGTGCCCTTCCTACACGAGCTGGAGGACCCCATTCTGCTGCAGAGCTGAGCTAGACCAGCTAAAACCCTACTAGCTACTCTCTTCTCTTTTACCAGTTTCAATTCAATCCCTACCACTCCTCTTGGCCATAACCCTTCAATGTTTGCAGATCTGGTAGGTGGAAGCAATATGGGTGAAGCTTTACCGCCACACTGCTTATACCTACCCAGAGCCTTCAGACATGCAACATGGAGTGGTTAGGGCCAAGGGGGAGGGATAGGGAGCGATTTGAGACCGTCTGTCTGTACCCTACTGCTGCGCTACCAAATGAACCTGCTGCATTCTTCTCACACTCCTCCTCTTCTCCCTTAACTAAACAATGCAGTTTGCACAGAGTGAAAGAAAAAGACGTTTACAGAAGTCAGTTTATTTTTCCATGGTTAGTCGCTCAATACACACACACACACACACACACACACACACACACACTTCAATAAATGAAGTAGTTTTTAAAAATAAAGACTTGGTAGCTGAATGCCCTCAGGATAGACAGCGTTAGTCTGCCCCTTGCTTTTTATCCCATCTTTGATCTGTCACACTCTACTAACAGAAGAAAACCAATCTTTACTCCTTCAAAGGCTTTGTCTTAGTAGTTAAACAGTGAATGTGCTTCAGTGCCAGCGAGCCGCTGACTTTAAATCCCTCTTAAATAGACTGATACCACAGAGGGTTGTCAAGTTTGGTTGGAGTGGAGAGATTGAGATGTTAGTCAGGCGCGGCTAGACTTTCTCTAATTCTTGGTGTGCATTTAATTTCCCCCCAAAATAAAGAAAAATACATTGTTGTACTCAGCCCCCAAAAATGGATTTGTTCCCTTTTGAACACTGGTCTTGTCCAACACGATGTGTGAAAACTGCGTTTAATTCAGCATATTTGTTTGGCTGATTTAATGTCTCTTACAATAGAGATTTATAGCATTTTCAGAACTTTAAGATAGGCGTACGTAATTACTTTTACTAATGTGAAACTTAACAGTGTTTTTCTCATAGTGTAACATGGTACGAGTTGCGAAATAGTCATTGCTCTATTTTCTGTGCTGGTGTGAAGAAACTGCTGTTTAAATCAATGTTAATTTACCTTCAACGTTGTAACCCAGAAGATTTAGCATTTTTCATTACATCCTTATTTGTAATCAAACTTTTTTTTTAGGAACAATATGTAGGCTACATTATCAGATCAATAATAGGTCTGTATTAATGTATTTGCTTCTTTATAGGTACTGGTAACATATTCTGAAAAATAATACTGCCCACGCTCTGTGTCCTTGATCAAGGCACTTAACCCTAATTTACTCCCAGGGGCACTCTACTACTATGGCTGACCCTTTTAAAACAACACATTTCACTGCACCTATCTGGTGTATGTGGCGATAAAATATCTTATCTTATTATTATGTCCACTGAAGTGAAACGGGTCGACCAAGAGACTACCGCTCTAGCTGTCACAGTTGCTGTTCATCTCTCTTCCTTTACTCTACTTCGTATCTGAGGAGAGAAACATTTGCCTTAAGCATTTTTACATTGACATTTTAGTCATTTAGCAGACTGTCTTATCCAGAGCGACTTACAGTAGTGAGTGCATACATTTGAATACTTTTTTCGTACTGGTCCCCTGTGGGAATCGAACCCACAACCCTGGCGCTTGTGCCACGCTCTACCATTAGTCACATTGCTGCATTAAAAATATTACTTGTTTTTGTATGATTTACATTTTTTATATAGACTTTTTCATTCATGGGTTGCCAGTATAGGTATAGTATCAACAAATACTGAGTCATTCATTGCATCAGTAAGTAGATTTGACTATATCGCTTTAGATGTATTTTCATCCACAACATGAAAGTACTAAATGTGTACTCTGCTTTAAAAAAAAAGTTTTAACTCCATACAATTCAAAATTATCTTGTTATGAGCGCTCATACAATTCCAAATGATTCACCTCAATGAGGTTTTGCACTAATACCCTGCTGTCATCATTAGTCACGCAACTTCTGATCCCATCAAAGTGCATTTTAGCAATAGCCAGGTGTATCCTGAAAGTACTGTACTGTATCTTATGGGGGAAGGTCTGTTTTTTTGTTCCCCTTTAGTGTGTTTGTGGATATGTAGGATGTGTGTTTGTTGTAATGTACTTGTCTGTGGCACTTTACTTCATAAATAATAGACTAATCTCTCAGCTGCCATGAGTAATGTGATTCCTGTCATGGGGGATTTAGTCTGTCTCCCAAATGGCACCCTATTCTTTATGGGCCTTGCTCGAAACTAGTGCACTATATTGGGAATAGGATGCCACTTGGGATGCAATGCAAACTACCATAGTCTTTATTAGTATACACAGTATGATGTACATCAGGATACCTGTAATCTTAAAGGTGCCTTCTTATCCCCAGTAATGTTTTTGCAATCCTGATTCTCATGCCCATACTGTATGTTGGAAAACTCACACTTTTCACATGGCAGCATACAACGGGCTTCCATTGCCAAATGTTTGTTATGTGCAACTGTCCAAATGAGCTACCTACTACCATCTACCACTGCAAAGTATCATTGGCTCAATGTTTTACCCTAAGAACAATGTATTTTGTTTAAATTTGTCCTTTTTCATTGCTAATAATTACATCTTGCTATAAATCTGTTTGTAACTAGATAACTTTCTGGTCAGTTCATGTTTGGTGTACTTTCAACTATTTCTCTTTAGTAACAGAAAATACAAAATACATTTCTCATTATAGTTCATTTTCTTGAGCATTGTGAATTGTACCAGTTAGCATTTAGTGATACATCTCATCTGTGGATCTGTCTTCCAAGAGTTTGTTTTTAAGTCCATTACTTGCACGAATAGCTTCATTTTCAGTATTAAGGATTTCGACAATTACAGGACAATGTGTGCATATGTTTTTTTTCCCTTCTCTTTTATAAATGAATGGAAATGCAGTGTGCATGTGTTATTATTGTGTCCTCTTCATTAACTGTTTTTCTATAGGACTGAGGTAAACTATCGACTCATGGTATTGCTTAGCTAGTAGATTGTAATGCTTTCAATAGCTGTTACAAGATAGGTACTGTTTTGGCGTATCACAGACTTTTCGACCAACCTTAACTTGGTGATACCATCGTCGTTCTCGATTCGGCCAAATGTGTATCTTCTAAAATGTCCAGTTTCAGGTGGTTTGTTTGAATTTAGAAAATGCTCCGTTATTACATTCATTTTGTTTTGCTTAATGAAGTCATCAAACGATGTGTAGTATGAAAAAAAAAAAAAAGCCATCTTTTTCTATTTCAAATCTTCTCTCATTGATCGAGACAGGTGAGTGTCATGACATACGGCACTTTAGGGTGGACTCAACTCTCAATCAATGAGAGAAGATATGAAATAGTCAAGATAGCAGAATATACATTGTTGGATTACATATATATATATATATATATATTAATAATGGAGCATTTTCTAAATTCAAACGAACCACCTGCAACTGGACACAGACATTTCAGAAGATACATGTTTGGCCGACTCGAGAACGAAGATAGTATGGCCAAAGTTGGTCGAAAAATATCTGTGCTACGCCAAACAGCCTATCCTGTAACGGCTAATTGAGCGTCATATTATCCCGTTACAATCTGCTGACTAGGCATTGATCATATTTGTTAGTTAGGGCATAAATATGTGAAGGTGTATGTTTTGCGTATATTGAGAAGGTAATTGTAATTTGAATATTCAGTGAAAGAGCCTCATTTACAGTACGTCTAGCTTTATTATTGATCAGTCATCACACTTTTTGAATTTCCATACTTCGACTTCCTGCTCAGCCACTTTGTTTCTACTACTGACTTGCCGTAGGAACGTAGTCGTTCTAGATTGATGGCGGCAGTCATCTGACCGAAAAGTTTTCAAAGTGGAAAATAAGTATTTTTGTCTGCTGCTCCTTCAAGCGAAATGAATTAATTTGAGCTAGCTAGGTTTGTATGCGACTTGGCTATTTACACACGAAAGAAGAGAAACAGTAAACGGACCATGTAATCAAGCGTACAATCTGCTAGTCGTACAACTGCAAGCTAACTACCGGCAAATCATGTAGCTAGCTAGCCATGTAGCTAGCTAACTAGCAACAGCTAGTAACTTCTAGCTAACGTTAGCTAGCTTGGACTACTAGCTCAAAGTTTGCTGCTCTGTTAGTTCAAGGTGGCTAGTGAGTGATATTTTTTCGCCATAGTCTTGCAATCGAACGTTAGCTAGCTAGCTAAGTTAGCTTCATGGAAAGGTTTTAATTGCCTCTGAACTCTTAACTAATACCAGCTGTAACTAACTGTTAGCTACTCCTATATATCAAAATGTGTCGCTTACGGTACTGTGTCAGCCACTGTCTGCATGCAGCGATTACCAGACTGGAGGAGGTCAACGGAGAGGTCAACATGTGGTCCTCTGTCAGATGTCTAGGCTACCTGTCTGGTCTGCACCTGCTGGTGGCTCTCTGTCTGGGGCTCTATGTGCGATGGGAGAAGACTGAAGAACCCATGATCCTCATCATATTTGTTCTGGCCCTGTTTGTCCTCGGGATAGCAAGTATACTGTACTATTACTTCAGCATGGAAAAAGTCAGCCTGAGCCTCCTCCACCTGTGGTTTGGCTTCCTGCTTGGCCTCCTGTGTTTCCTCAACAACCCGACTCTGGAGAGCAACATCAAGGAGCAAGCCACCAACTACCTGCTGCTGGCCAGTGTTGTCTTGAGGACGCTGTGGGCTCTGCTGGAGAGGATGTGCGGCTGCACCAGGTACCGCCCTGCCTTCCTCACCTCAGCAGAGGCCCTGGAGCTGGCAGGCTTTGCCATCGCCAGTACTGCCTTACTCATCCAGAAGTCCATGAGCGTAGTGGTGCTTGTGGTGGCCCTAGCTACTCTGATGGTGGCCCTGCGCATGAAGGCTCTCCTGGCCCTGCCCAACCTGGTCTGCTTCTCCATCATCACCGCAGTGCTGTTTTTCAAGGCGCTGGGCATCACCACCAACCCCTTCGCCCTCGCATGTTTCTTCAGCCAGCTGATTTGCGACCCCTTGCTGGACGTGTACTTCAGTGGGCTGTCGGTGACCGAGCGCTGGCTGCCCTACCTTGCCTGGAGGGGGCTGTGGCGCAGGATGTCCCTCCTGCCTCTGCTGCTGGTGGAGGTGATTTTAATTAATTTTATTTGACAAATTTAAAATGCATATAGAGTTGCCCCAACCATGTGAGTACAATGATGCACACTTGAAAAATAATTGTGTATAAAAACACATAGTCAACAGTAGACTTACTTCCATTGTGGTCCCACCCAGGTGGGTTTCTGGGTCCTGGCAGCCCTGAAGCTGGTGGACCTGGACCAGTGGTACCTGATGATCCCGGGCTTCATGCTAAGTGGGGTGTTCTGGGCCATCTGTCACGTGGTGTTCATCATCACTCTGTGGGGCTTCCACACCAAGCTGAGTGACTGCCAGAGGGTGTGTCTGGCCCAGGGATCCGGGAACAGTTGCCTAGACAAGGTTATGGCCTCTAAAGGAGTCAGACACTTCTGTCTCATCTCTGAACGCCTGGTGCTCTTCAGTCTGGTGTCCACCATCATCCTGGCTGCTTTATCATGGCAGGTATGTCTCCAGTCATTGATATAGCACTGTTATTCAGTCCAGACCAGCAATGTTATACCTTGATGGCTCATATAACATAGTCTGTTTGTTTTGTTGATAAGCTCTGTTAACTGACGTAAAATAAATTGAGATCGGACACTTTCCCATAGTTTTTGAGGTCATACATATTCAGAGCCATCTTTTCAATTTCATAGTCCTCCTTTTTTGGTTAGTGTGTGAATGTGACCCATTGTGTCTGTCTGTCTGTCTCAGTCCTCCAGTAGTATCTTTATGAGTATGCTCCTGCTGGTCCTGGCTCTGGAGTCTCTGTTCCACGGCCTCTTCTATGAGCTGGGGAACTGCCTAGGCGGCACATGTGTGGGGTATGCAGTGGTCATCCCCACCAACTATTGCAGGTAGGAATTTATGGATAGTGGACACCCAAATGTATGGATAGTGGACTCTCTCTCTCTCTCTCTCTCTCTCTCTCTCTCTCTCTCTCTCTCTCTCTCTCTCTCTCTCTCTCTCTCTCTCTCTCTCTCTCTCTCTCTCTCTCTCTCTCTCTCTCTCGCTCTCTCTCTCTCTCTCTCTCTCTCTCTCTATATAGATATATATATATATATATATATATATATATATATATATATATATATATATATATATATATATTAGTTTTCACACCCCTTGACTTTTTCCACATTTTGTTGTTACAGCCTGAATTTAAAATAGATTAAATTGAGATTTTGTGTCACTGGCCTACACACAATACCCCCATAATGTCAAAGTTTTATTTGAAATGTTTACAAATTAATAAAAAATGAAAGCTGAAATACAGTGGGGGAAAAAAGTATTTAGTCAGCCACCAATTGTACAAGTTCTCCCACTTAAAAAGATGAGAGAGGCCTGTAATTTTCATCATAGGTACATGTCAACTATGACAGACAAAATGAGAATTTTTTTCTCTCCAGAAAATCAGATTGTAGGATTTTTAATGAATTTATTTGCAAATTATGGTGGAAAATAAGTATTTGGTCAATAACAAAAGTTTCTCAATACTTTGTTATATACCCTTTGTTGGCAATGACACAGGTCAAATGTTTTCTGTAAGTCTTCACAAGGTTTTCACACACTGTTGCTGGTATTTTGGCCCATTCCTCCATGCAGATCTCCTCTAGAGCAGTGATGTTTTGGGGCTGTCGCTGGGCAACTCGGACTTTCAACTCCCTCCAAAGATTTTCTATGGGGTTGAGATCTGGAGACTGGCTAGGCCACTCCAGGACCTTGAAATGCTTCTTACGAAGCCACTCCTTCGTTGCCCGGGCGGTGTGTTTGGGATCATTGTCATGCTGAAAGACCCAGCCACATTTCATCTTCAATGCCCTTGCTGATGGAAGGAGGTTTTCACTCAAAATCTCACGATACATGGCCCCATTCATTCTTTCCTTTACACGGATCAGTCGTCCTGGTCCCTTTGCAGAAAAACAGCCCCAAAGCATGATGTTTCCACCCCCATGCTTCACAGTAGGTATGGTGTTCTTTGGATGCAACTCAGCATTCTTTGTCCTCCAAACACGACGAGTTGAGTTTTGACCAAAAAGTTCTATTTTGGTTTCATATGACATTCTCCCAATCCTCTTCTGGATCATCCAAATGCACTCTAGCAAACTTCAGACGGGCCTGGACATGTACTGGCTTAAGCAGGGGGACACGTCTGGCACTGCAGGATTTGAGTCCCTGGCGGCGTAGTGTGTTACTGATGGCAGGCTTTGTTACTTTGGTCCCAGCTCTCTGCAGGTCATTCACTAGGTCCCCCCCGTGTGGTTCTGGGATTTTTGCTCACCGTTCTTGTGATCATTTTGACCCCACGGGGTGAGATCTTGCGTGGAGCCCCAGATCGAGGGAGATTATCAGTGGTCTTGTATGTCTTCCATTTCCTAATAATTGCTCCCACAGTTGATTTCTTCAAACCAAGCTGCTTACCTATTGCAGATTCAGTCTTCCCAGCCTGGTGCAGGTCTACAATTTTGTTTCTGGTGTCCTTTGACAGCTCTTTGGTCTTGGCCATAGTGGAGTTTGGAGTGTGACTGTTTGAGGTTGTGGACAGGTGTCTTTTATACTGATAACAAGTTCAAACAGGTGCCATTAATACAGGTAACGAGTGGAGGACAGAGGAGCCTCTTAAAGAAGAAGTTACAGGTCTGTGAGAGCCAGAAATCTTGCTTGTTTGTAGATGACCAAATACTTATTTTCCACCATAATTTGCAAATAAATTCATAAAAAATCCTACAATGTGATTTTCTGGATTTTTTTCCCTCAATTTGTCTGTCATAGTTGACGTGTACCTATGATGAAAATTACAGGCCTCTCTCATCTTTTTAAGTGGGAGAAATTGCAGAATTGGTGGCTGACTAAATACTTTTTTCCCCCACTGTATCTTGAGTCAAGAAGTATTCAACCCCTTTGTTATGGCAAGCTACAAGTTAAGGAGTAAACATTTGCTTAACAAGTCACATAATAAGTTGCATGGACTCACTCTGTGTGCAATAATAGTGTTTAACATGATTTTTGAATGACTACCTACTTTCTGTACCCAACACATAATTGTAAGGTCCCTCAGTCGAGCAGAGAATTTCAAACACCGATTCAACCACAAAGACCAGGGAGGTTTTCCATTGCCTCGCAAAGAAGGCCACCTATTGGTAGATGGGTTAAAAAATAAGCAGACATTGAATATCCCTTTGTATGGTGTAATTAAAAGATACAGGCGTCTATGGTGTCACTACAAAGATACAGGCGTCTTTCCTAACTCAGCTGCCGGAGTGGAAGGAAACCGCTCAGGGATTTCACCATGAGGCCAATGGTGACTTTAAAACAGTTAGAGTTTAATGGCTGTGATAGGAGAAAATTGAGGATGGATTAACAACATTGTAGTTACTCCACAATACTAACCTACCTAATTGACAAAGTGAAAAGAAGGAAGCCAGTACAGAATAAAAATATTCTAAAATAATGCACCCTGTCTGCAACAAGGCACTAAAGTAATACTGCAAAAAATGTGGCAAAGAAATTAACTTTATGTCCTGAATACAAAGTTTTATGTTTGGGGCAAATCCAATACAACACATTACTGAATTCCACTCTCCATATTTTCAAGTATAGTGGTGGCTGCATCATGTTATGGGCAATGTTCCCTCTGAACTGCGCGTGTGCGCGGCTGCACACTTCCTCCAGGACTGCAGCGCAGAAGAAATGTCATGCCGCGCAGAGACGCAAGAGATTGAACTTTACTCGCCCCACTAGTTTGCACTATATATAGATCAACGTTTTTTCTGTGATCGAATCAACATTATATCGGCCCCTTTTCAATGCAACAAATCAAACTTTGCAAGATTAAGTCTTTTTGTAGGCAGTCAGAGAATTCTATTGTCGGGGGTAGCCCACGAGCGGTCTTTTAATCACCCGTGAGTGAATGCGCTTTTCACAGTAGATCAGAGCTGCGCATATGCACATTTGTTGATATTCTTTGCTAGTTAGCTAATTATTAAGTGTAGGTCAGCAATGGGTAGTTACTGCTTCCTACAAGAGCACGAAACATGTAGGCTACATTTCAAGCTGTCTTTGAAAAGCCAGTCAGATAAAAAAAAAAAAAGAAGCTTATGTTTTAATTAAAGGAGCAGTGTTGTATTTTGAGACAGGCTCGAATATGCAAATAAACCAATAGGCAGAGGGGTAGCCTACATTGTCTAATTATCTGTATGATAATTATAATAATAATACATTTAATTTTGTAAAATGGTTTCTTGCATCACACAATACATTGCAATTTACAAACACCTATTTGGCCCATGGTGTTACAGACCAAGTAAACAAATAATTAATGAATGTCAAGCCCTTCATAATGTAAAAATGTTTTCTAAAAGTATCATGCAATGTAGGCCTGCATTGAACACCACATATAGGCTACTGTAGGCTATATCATAGAAATCAAAAGCTATTTCCATGTAAAATGTTATGGGATTTGCTCCATTGGTTTTGTTGGTAGGCCTACATTATGCTCAAATAGCCACAATAGCCTTTTGGCTACTGTCTAAAACTGTAAGGGTACAGCTTCAGTGTTCACTGTAAACCGCGCTGGAAGTTGCACAAAATTCTCACAACGTTCAAGTTTCCGCTCACAAGACAAAACATTTGCTCAGTGCCCCAAGAAATTAGAGGGAACATTGGTTATGGGTATGCTTGTAATCATTAAGGACTGGGGAGTTTTTTAGGATAAAAAATAAACGGAATAGAGCTAAGCACAGGCAAAATTCTTGAGGAAAACCTGGTTCAGTCTGCTTTCCAACAGACACTGGGAGACCAATTCACCTTTCAGCAACACTAACCTAAAACACATTGCCAAATCTACATTGGAGTTGCTTACCAAGACGACATTGATTGTTCCTGAGTGACCTAGTTACAGTTTTGACTTAAATCGGATTGAAAATCTATGGCAAGACTTGAAAATGGCTGTCTAGCAATGATCAACAAGCAACTTGACAGAGCTTGGAATCATTTTTAAAAGAATAATGTGCAAGTATTGTACAATCCAGGTGTGCAAAGCTCTTAGAGACTTACCCAGAAAGACTCACAGCTATAATCACTGCCAAAGAAGATTCTAACATGTATTGACTCAGGGGTGTGAATACTTATGTAAATGAGATACTTCTGTATTTCATTTTCAATACATTTGCAAATATGTCTAAAAACATGTCATTATGGGGTATTGTGTGTAGATGGGTGAGGAGTTTTTATTTTTTAATCCATTTTGAATTCAGGCTGTAGCACAACAAAATGTGGAACAAGTCAAGGGGTGTGAATACTTTCTGAAGGCACTGTACAGTATATGCTATACTATACTTACTCAACACACAGGCGCATACTTTTTTACACAGTCTTTCATTTAACTTATTCTTACTGCACTCATCCTCACTCCTTCCCTTCTCTTCACCCTTTCATTCCCTCTCTCCCTTGCAGTCCTGATGGGCAGCCCACTCTGTTACCTCCGGACCAGGTACATATGTTGAACATGCATTCCACGGGCATGTTGAACAGTATACAGAGTTTCTTCTCCCACCACATGATCGAGACGTTCGGCTGCGACTACTCCACCAGCGGGGTGACTCTGGAAGCCCTACAGGTGAAGCTCAAGGCCTTCATGGAGCTCTGCACAGCCGATGGGCCTCGCCACGACACCTACGTGGTGTTCTACAGTGGACACACCCACCGCAGCGGGGAGTGGGCACTAGCAGGTACGAATCACTTAGAAGTTTTTTCATTCTGTGAAGCTCAGTTACTTTAACTCACTGTCTGTAGCACATTATTTTATGGTGCTGTGGTTGTCTGTCAGGAGGGGGCACCCTTCAACTGGACCAGATCCTGGAGTGGTGGAGAGAGAAGAACAGTGACTACTGCTCCCGCCTCATCCTGGTCCTGGACAGTGAGAACTCCCTACCCTGGGTGAAGCAGGTGAGGAAGGTGGGGGGGCTTTATGTGGCGGTGCAGGGGGCCCAGCTAGCCCGAGCCACGGATGTCGAGCTCCAGGACGCCCCCCAGCTCGGGGACTTCACCTCCCAGTGGGTGGAGTACAACTGCAATGTAGACAGCACCATCCAGTGGTCGGAGAGGGGAAGGACGGTCACCGCCGCCTACGGCATCTCCAAGCACTGGAGTGATTACACACTGCACCTGCCCACAGAAAGTGATGTCACCAAACACTGGAGGATGTACTTCCCCAGGATGACCTACCCCGTGGTCCAGTTAGCGCTCTGGTGCGGTGGGCTGAACCTGCTTTGGCTATGCAGTGTCTGCCTACAGTGCCTCAAAAGGGTCAAACTCAACTGGTTCCCCCCAGCCATACTAGACACTGGCCAAGGGTTCAAGCTGGTCAAATCTTAGAAATTCACCTCTGTATGAATCATACTGACTAAGGCTTTTCCACTTTGTATTTACACATGTTTGTCACCGTACAGGAATGTTTTCTAAATCAGTTTTTGTAATTGATTGATTGGTTGTGTGAGATTGATAGCTGAGTTTTTAGGACCCTCAGTGAAGGCAGCTGTTGATTGTGAAACCTTAAAGGGATACTTTGGGATTTTGGCAATGAGGCCATTTATCTACTTCCCCAGAGTCAGATGAACTCATGGATACCATTTTATGTCTCTGTGTCCAGTATGAAGGAAGTTAGAGGTAACTAGCATTAGCACAATGAATAGAAGTCTATGGGTATCTGCTAGCATGCTGAAATCCCAAGGTAGCCCTTTAATGACTAACTAGACAGTTACAAATAGTGTGTGTGTGAGCTATATGTTTTGCTTATGTGTGCTAAAGTACTAAGTTACTGATATGAGGTTACTGATTTTGATGTACTATGGTATTTTGATGTAGTACTACATATGTCTATACCAAATTAGTGTTTGGCTATTCCTTACAAGTCATTCTATGCATTCATTGGTGGTGGTTATTTGATTTGATTCGAGTTTTGTTTTAAATCAATTCCTTTATATTAGTTTGGTGGGTTTATTGGGGTAGTGGTACTGTTCTCTGAACTCCAGTTGTACTGGTTTATTCCCACCTTCTTCTTTTTGGAGTTGCCTCTTAATTACTAGTTCAGGCTGAGAATGTTACCCTACCGCTGTCTGAAGTGGTATCATATTGTCACTCTCCCAGATTGGATTTTCATACACTTAAGGTTGCAGCGGTTACACTGATTGCACCATTCATGTATTATGACCAAAGCATGCATACATCCAGCTTTGTAAATCTGATATTTTTCACAAATGACCTTCGTCCCCCTTCAAAAAAGGATATCAGGTTTCTAAGATATTGTATTACGGTAATAGGCATTTCATTTATTTTCAAGAGTATGGAATATGTGAATTTATAATTTGATACCTTCATATTTGATTCTTATCCAAGGCATTCCATACACCTAGGCCTATTTGCATATTCAGCTTTTAATGAACTACTTTATATCAAAGCTTTGAAGAGTATCCAAAGGTTGCTGGATCGAATCGCCGAGCTGACAAGGTAAAAATCTGTCGTTCTGCCCCTGAGCAAGGCAGTTAACCCACTGTTCCCCGGGCGCTGAAGACGTGGATGTCGAGGGGTTGGGTTAAATGCAGAAGACACATTTCAGTTGAATGCATTCAGTTGTACAACTGATTAGGTATTCCCCTTTCCCTATCACTGCTGTCTGCTATTCATTTATTTTGTATGAATACTTTGTTTATATTGCTTTTGGGACTTGTGGTATCTACAATAATGACCTCAGGGAGTCTAAGGGTTGTTACTGTACCTATACTGATTGCACTATCTGGAGGAATATGGACCCAATGTAGGACGTGATCTTGCATTTATGCGTGATTGTTTTCTGAGGTTTATCATATCATACAGTGATTTAGATATGCAAGCTTAGCCTAATCAACTGTATGAATATGGCAACGTTTTAATCTTAAGCATTGACTGAAGTCTCGACTATGCAATAAAAATTGAGATTTCAGTGTTTTTAATTATATTGATTGATATACAGACACATTATGGCACTGTTTCAGTGGACAGATTATGCACTCTGCTGGTATGCAATAAACTAGGTCTGTCTATTCCACTTTGCTTTGAAATGCATACACTGGCAGTTCTTTTCTGTAATCTCTTCATAAGGTCATTAAGTGTCAATTAGTCTGTAATGCAGCTAACCACCATCTTTCAAGCGATCAGAGAATATTAGGCTACCTATTAAAGGAGTTTATGGATTTGGAACAAACTTAATGTTAAAGCAGTGTTTTTCAAATCAGGACTCCTAGTCCTGGGGACTCACATAGGTGCACAGTTTTATTCTAGCCCAGCACTAACACCTGATTCTTTAAGTTCTAAATCACTCCATGAGTGATGTTAAAAATGCCGGTGACTGAACCAGAATCTGTCGGGGGGGGGGGGGGGGGGGTTGCTAAAATGTTTTCCTTGCAAGTTGGGGGTATGGATGTGGGTACGCAGACCCGTGAACCACTACGGCCCCCATGATGAGTTCAGATTTTTTGTGGTCCCCACCACCATCAAAGTTGCCCATCCCTGCTCTACAAGGAGGCCCTCTACAACAAGCTGCTGAAGCTCCAGGGGAACACTGGGGGATACTCCTGCCTGGACGCAGCCTCAGACCAGGAGCTTCTGGTCAACTACAAGGGAACCAAGAATAAGTTCCTCTTTGATAAAGTCTAACCATTCAGCACCTCACAGGTAGGTGAATTGAATTGAAACACATAACCCAATGGATTAGGACCACAGGAGGCTGCTAAGGGGAGGACAGCTCATAATAATGTCTGGAATGGCACAAATGGAATAGCATCAAACACATGCAAACCATGTGTTTGATACCATTCCACCTATTCCGCTCCAGCCATTACCACGAGCCCATCCTCCCCAATTAAGGTGCCCCCAAGCTCCTGTGATTAGGACATTTGTTGTGTGATGGTATTAGATATTGTGCCGGTGGGCTCTCAATTCGTCTCCATGCAGGAGGAAGTATTTGTAGGGACCCTGCCCATAGTAAGGTCTTGTGCGGTTGGATATACAATAGCGTCTGTATTCTAGCCTATGGTCAGACAAGCTCTGGGAAGACTTACACCATGATGGGCACCAAAGTCAAACCTGGAGTCAATATCAGGTAACATTTTGGCAGCACTTCACTTGGAGCTGTCGGATATAATGCTGCATCACTATTAATAAGCACTACCAATATTTTTGACCATGTTAAAATTAACAGAAGTATTTTTGTAATATAATATGTAAGAAATTCTTTATAAACAATTCACCAACATTTCTCTTTACAATGTCTTTACACATCCAACATACATTAGGTTCCCTTGGTGAAGTGTGAAAGCCTATCACTGAGGGCCATGCGAGACTAATTGTGTCTCATTGCCATATTATGCTATATGAATACTGCCCATCAATATGTTATCAGCTGGAGCACCATAGTCAGGGAAACAAAACAATCCTCTTACTGCTGTTTCTTTTGTGGGACTATGTACGTGTTATGGACATGTTTGATGTTGATGGATGTGTGTGTCTGATCTCAAACCTGCCTCTATGTATCTGTCCTTAGGTCTGTCAGAGAGTTGCTGTGAATATGTAAAGAAAATCTCATACTTTAAAGGTATGATTTCATGTTGAACCCAGCAAAAAGATTGAAGAGAACAATACTGAAGAAGTTTACTTAAAGGGTCATTTATCCTTTATTCAGATATCCATGTTGGAAATCTACTACGACAGCCTAAATCAGGGATTCCCTAACTCGGTCCTGGGGCCCACGTTTTGTTTTTTGCCATAGAACCACACAGGTGATTCAAATAACCAACTCATAATCAAGCTTTGATTATTTGAATCAGCTGTGTAGTGCTAGGGCAAAAAACAAAACTTGCACCCAGGATGGGCCCCAGGACAGAGTTTGGGAAACCCTGGCCTAAATGATCTCCTGTCAAAGTCCCACCAGTTCTTTAGAGATCCGGACCCAGGGGAAGTCCATCGCGGTGTCTGGGCTGACCCACGTCGAGGTGAAGACCGAGAGCGACATTCTGAACGTGATGAAAGATGGGCTCAACCAATATGAACATAGAAAGGTAGGCCTACCTCATGTCATGATGTCAATATGAACATAGAAAAGTAGGCCTACCTCAGGTCATGATGTCAATATGAACATAGAAAGGTAGGCCTACCTCAGGTCATGATGTCAATATGAACATAGAAAGGTAGGCCTACCTCAGGTCATGATGTCAATATGAACATAGAAAGGTAGGCCTACCTCAGGTCATGTCAATATGAACATAGAAAGGTAGGCCTACCTCAGGTCATGATGTCAATACCAGTGTGGTTGTGAACACATTGCTAGGAGTCTCTCCCTCAGCTCTCGGTCTCACCTGTTGCTCACCCTGACTGTGGAGGGTACATATTGTGTCTCTGGGGTGACGTCTCACGATACGCTGACCCTGTGTGACTTGGCGGGGTCCGAGCTCATCGCCAAGACAGATGCCAAACGACAGAGACTGGTCGAGGTCTGTGCTTTTTAGGTTCAGTGCCCTGAAATGTAATGCGCTGCATGTAACTTTTAGAAACTCTGAACTTACACACCTGCTTCAGCCGTGTCTCAGTGGAGATGAAGGTAATGTTTTCTCCCTCTAAAATTCTGAAAATAATCTGACTCAAAGACATTCCCAAATATTTATTTTGAAATATGTCTTGACAGGATGCATTGCTTATATGATTAATATGATTTTGATAATGTGATGTATTTTAACTGGACGTATTACTTATCCAAAACGTGTTACTTCTATATGTTTTCTGTTTCAGTGCGAGTCCTGATGTGAACAACGTGGTGGAGACACTGACCACTTTGCAGTTTGGGGTTGACTATACGGCAGCTGGTTCTGGGCAAAGCCACACAACACATCACTCATGCTAAGACCACGAAGGCTGACAAAAAGCACTAGATGTTAAAATGGAAGTCAGTCTATCTCCTCTCTACTAAGTCAGACAGATTCCAATTTCATCTGTAGAATGTTTTTACTTTACTGCAGCTCAGGGTTTTTAGAAAATATAGTGTTGTGTTCATACACATATTGTATATTCAAGCTAAATGAGAGGGAACCAGCGGTTACAGTATATTCATCATGTTTATTTACATTCAGCAATTGTTACATCTCTGCAGTCAGTTGCTGAAACATAAATAAACTGCCTTTGAGGTCACATTTGTCAGCAATCATTATACTGTATGAAACTTAAATTCATCTGCCGGTATGTTGCACAAGTATGGCATATTAAATCATACATAAACGTAGTCCAGGCTCAGGAAATTATCTTCTGAAACAGGCCATGTTCATTTCTGCACATGTGTGCTGGTCTGATGAGCATCAGTGTCTTGTTGAGATTCAGAGGTGAGAAAAGTTGTTGTACTGTGTCCCTCTGAGTCCAGACCATAGACATACACATTTCACAGGAGGTTGGTGGCACCTTAATTGGGGAGGACGGGCTCATGGTAATGGCTGGAGCGGAATAGGTGGAATGTTTCTATGGTATTATTATGAGCCGTCCTCCCCTCAGCAGCCTCCACTGAGATGATATAACATCATCAGCTTTTTAACTAGAGCTGTCCGTGTTCTTCAGAAGGTGGTTGAGGACGCTGGTCTGCTTCAGGGCTCTCAGGTTAGAGATGTCCTCAGCTATGACAGGGACGTCTCCCCAAGGGCCTGTGTGTTCTGATTCACTCTCACTGTCCGACAAGGCACAGAGGAGGGCATCGTTCTCATAGGTGGGGAAATAATATCTGAAGTGGAGACAGGGAGTATGGGCTGTAATGACTGGCACTTAGACTGTTGGACAATAATGGCTAGCACTTAGACGTCAGAAACAGTTACAATAGCCACCAGATGGAGAGTTGAGCAATTATACTTTAATAGTACCATTTATCCAGCACTCCAATAACACATCACGTTTAAACCGTAGTAAAACAATAGTCTTGTTATTGTTCTTAATATGGTTTTAGTTAACAATATTACAAGTAAACAATACATTTTCCACAGACAGTTATTATGAGAGCTCCAGACTTACTGTGGCTGGTCCCAGGTTGACGTCTCTGGTAGCTGCATCACGTGACCTGCATCCATTACATGACGTATAACCTCAGCTTTGGAGCCAAACTTCTCCTGGCAACCATAGCAACGGCACTGGTGGATCTCTCGTCTGATATAGTTGACCAGTTTGACCTGCTGGTAGAACCGCAGATCTGGAAGAAGACATGCTTATCAGGACACTTAGGCTGCGTTTACACAGACAACCAAATTCTGACCCTTTGCCTAATTATTGGCAAAAGAGCTGATCTGGATGGTCAAAAGACCAATTAGTGGAAAAATATCATAATTTGGCTGCCTGTGTAAATGCAGCCCCAGTATGTGAAGGACTGGTATGACCATTCATTTGGATGGATGGATGTGTTTTTCTTTTATGGTGGGGTTTGTACTACCAAGCATAGCAGTTGTCCAATATTACTCACTGAGTTCTGTCTTCAACTTGTGCAGATCAAATCTGTGGGTTTCCTGAAAATACATGGTGAAGAAAAACAGATCCATGAACCATATTGAAGTAGCTAGTCCCAAACAGGCAATGCATGGGCCTAATTTGTCAACAAATGCATTAGGGGATTGTGTTACCTCCATGTGTGTGTAGATCTTGTCCATGCTCTCTGACTGCTGCTCACAGAACAGGCACACAGCACACACTGGGTGAGCCTGCCAGTCTGACCAATCACTGAAGAGAGGACAGACAGAGCCATTAGAAAATCTATTCACCATTAGTCTTTCCTCAATAAATGGTAAATACAACACTGCAACAGTGCATACCATTTAATCCTAGAGAACACAGATTACAAGTCATTTGACCATCCCAAACAACAATTATGACCGTGTCACGAGGACAATCCTTACTCATCTTCATCCTCCACCATCTCCCGATCATCCTCAGATTGGACCTCTTCCCATGTCTTCCCCAGCTCCTGTAGCAGGGAAAACAGACCGTAGTCTTCATCACTTTATTTACATTTAATGAGACTTTAAACAAAATTCAATTTGTGAAAATAGTATATTTTCAGATCAAATATTTTGTAATATGAATTTCTATTTGTTAGATATGCTCTCACACCCACACCCCCACCCACCCACCCACACACAGCAGTGAGCGTACCAGGTAGTTGATGATGTAGAAGCGGTCGTACTCGCGGTTGTTGCCATTGATTCTGCGGTGCAGTTTTTTTCTCATGTGATCCTTCAGTGTCGTCTTGTCTCTGAATGTTTTTTCACAATACAGGCACTGCAGACTGAAAACAAAAAACAATGAAACACTCAAAGCTCTGTGAAATGTCGTTTGGTTGAGTAATGCTAATTCCTGTATGAGTGTGACACCCACCAGCGCTCTCCTTCACAGTAAAACTAAAAGTACTGGAAAACGTTACTACAGCGTTACTAATATCAGTAAACTACAGATGACATCCAGAATTGTATTTCCACATTTTTAAAATAGCATAAACAAACAATGTAAAAAGGATATCCATTCCAAAAACTCTAACTTACTTATCCAGTTTGCTCTGTAGGTGGTCCAGGAACTCTACGCAGTACACTATGTTGTCAGGCAGCCCCACGCTGAACGAGTGCTCCCTGGCCATGTGGTTGAGCAGTGACGACCTGTTCCCAGTGAACTGGTCATTGCAGAACATGCAGATGCGCTGGAAGCTGTCGTCATCCCTCTCCCTCTGCTGCTGCTCCAGGATCTCCTCCTGTGGACCAACACAGTGGGAGTTACTAGCATGATTACTTTTTGATACAAGATTATTAATGTTTGTAAACTTCTGAGCTGCATGTGGGAGAGAGGACAAGGACACGCCATGTGTTATAGAGGTCACTGGTGAGTGACAGAGGGTCGGTGTGCCAAGATAGTTTGGGGGCCAATGGTGCTAATCTTAGAAGGAGTATGTGATGGAATGGCCTGGCTAGGGTGCCACACGATACCATGTAGGGTGATACTACGGTAGTAGATGAGTGACACTCAATGATGGTTGGCAGATGATGGACAGAAGTAGCTCGGAGAGCATTATATAAAACAGAGATTTTCTATGGAAGTCATTCAGATGACAGGAGGCTACGTCCGTACCGCCTATCATATTGAATCCAGTACTGTAACCATTAAATAATGACTGAATCAACTCTCCATCTGAATGGTCGAATACTTTCTTGCATCCTGAACTTCTCGATACCAGAAACAAATCATAACATAGCATAAATTAAACTATGCAGTCCCAGTGGGAGGTCACAAAGTGTTTCAGAGTAGAAGTGCTGATCTAGGATCAGTTTTGTCTTTCAGATAATGAAGAATATGTTCCTATGGACAGGGAAGACCTGATCCTAGATCTGCGCTCCTACTCTGAGATGCTTTGTGAATATTAGCCCAGGGACATACAGTATATTGTTGACATAAAATAGAGCAGTAACCAGCGCAGCAGCGCTTGTTCTGAGAATGTGTCAGTTAGCCTAGCGGTTAAGAGCGTTGGGCCAGTAACCGAAAGGTCGCTGGTTCGAATCCCGCGCTGACTAAGTGACAAATCTGTCGAGCAAGGCATTTAACCCTAATTGCTCCTGTAACTCGCTCTAGATAAGAGAGTCTGCTAAATGACTAAAATGTAACTCACCAGTCGTTTCTGTTGGAGATGTTCTCTGAGGACCCTGTCCTCTGGCAGGACATCACACAGAAGGAAGTAGTGCTCCTGTTTTTCTGAAAAGCACAACAAGAGGGTATATTAAATAATATAATGCAAGAACAGGGTAAAGTAGAAGCAGCCATATTGTGAACCTACAGGCTATCTGTTCTATAGTAAATTAAATCCCACTTACCAACAGGGCCCTGCGAGTTAGTCTTGATCACACTGCAGAAATCTGTGATGGGTTGCTCAGAGATTCTGTTCTTCCAATATTGCATGTATCTGAAAGAAATGGACACAGTAGAACACAGTTTATTTTAGTGTGACAGACAGGCAGTATGTGATGCATTTCCCCTGTAGAAGAGGCAGGGAACTGAACACAAAACGTAGCCAGTCACGCTTGACAATCTCTCCTTGTGATTTATCACAGTTTTCGTGACAGCTATTACTGTGTTATAACTGTTTGTATAGATCAAACGCATCAAACTTGTGCCGCAATCGTGATAGGGAACTTGATAATCAGGACCATAGAAATAGATCCATTCTAGTTGTGGTCAGGAGGACTCAGAGGCTACATACAGTAGAAAATGTATTTTATACACTGAACAAAAATATAAAACGTAACATGTAAAGTGTTGATCCCATGTTTCATGAGCTGAAATAAAAAAATCCCAGATATTTTTCATATGCACAAAAAGCTTATTTCTCTCAAATTTTGTGCACAAATTTGTTTACATCCCTTAGCCAAGATAAACAATCCACCTGACAGGTGTGGCATATCAAGAAGCTGATTAAACAGCATGATCACTACACAGGTGCACCTTGTGCTGGGGACAATAAAAGGCCACTTTAAAATGTGCAGTTTTGTCACACAACACAATGCCACAGATGACTCAAGTTTTGAGGAAGCATGCAATTGGCATGTCCACCAGAGCTGTTGCCAGATAATGTAATGTTCATTTCTACCATAAGCTGCCTCCAACGTCGTTTTAGACAATTTGGCTGTACGTTTAACCGGTCTCACAACCGCAGACCACGTTCAAACTTTTGACTGGTACTGTATACACACACACACACACACACACACACACACAGTCAAAAGTTTGGACACACCTACTCATTCCAGGGTTTTTCTTTATTTTTACTATTTTCTACATTGTAGAACAATAGTGAAGACATCAAAACTATGAAATAACACGTATCATGTAGTAACCAAAAAAGTGTTAAACAAATCAAAATATATTTTATATTTGAGATTCTTCAAATAGCCACCCTTTGCTTGATGACAGCTTTGCTCACTCTTGGCGTTCTCTCAACCAGCTTCATGAGGTAGTCACCTGGAATGCATTTCAAGAATTTATTTCCTTCTCAATGCGTTTGAGCCTATCAGTTGTGTTGTGACAAGGTAGGGGTGGTATACAGAAGATAGCCCTACTTGGTAAAAGACCAAGTCCATATTATGGCAAGAACAGCTCAAATAAGCAAAGAGAAATGACAGTCCATCATTACTTTAAGACATGAAGGTCAGTCAATACGGAACATTTCAATAACTTTTTTATGTTTCTACAAGTGCAGTCGCAAAAACCATCAAGCGCTATGATAAAACTGGCTCTTATGAAGACCGCCACAGGAAAGGAAGACCCAGAGTTACCTCTGCTGCAGAGGATAAGTTCATTAGAGTTTACCAGCCTCAGAAATTGTAGCCCAAAAACATGCTTCACAGAGTTCAAGTAACAGACACATCTCAACATCAACTGTTCAGAGGAGACGGCGTGAATCAGGCCTTCATGGTCGAATTGCTGCAAAGAAACCACTAGTAAAGGACACCAATAAGAAGAAGAGACTTGCTTGGGCTAAGAAACAATGGACATTAGACCGGTGGAAATCTGTCCTTTGGTCTGATGAGTCCAAATTTGAGATTTTTGGTTCCAACTGCCGTGTCTTTGTGAGACGCAGAGTACAGTTGTGGTCAAAAGTTGAGAATGACACAAGTATTGGTCTTCACAAAGTTCGCTGCTTCAGTGTTATGAGATATTTGTCAGATGTTACTATGGTATACTGAAGTACAATTACAAGCATTCCATAAGTGTCAAAGGCTTTTATTGACAATTACATTAAGTTTATGCAAAGAGTCAATATTTGCAGTGTTGACCCTTCTTTTTCAAGACCTCTGCAATCCGCCCTGGCATGCTGTCAATTAACTTCTTAGCCACATCCTGACTGATGGCAGCCCATTCTTGCATAATCAATGCTTGGAGTATGTCAGAAGTTGTGGGTTTTTGTTTGTCCACCCGCCTCTTGAGGATCGACCACAAGTTCTCAATGGGATTAAGGTCTGGGGAGTTTCCTGGCCATGGACCCAAAATGTCGATGTTTTGTTCCCCGAGTCACTTAGTTATCACTTTTACCTCATGGCAAGGTGCTCCATCATGCTGGAAAAGGCATTGGTCGTCACCAAACTTTTCTTGGATGGTTGGGAGAAGTTGCTCTCGGAGGATGTGTTGGTACCATTCTTTATTCATGGCTGTGTTCTTAGGCAAAATTGTGAGTGAGCCCACTCCCTTGGCTGAGAAGCAACCCCACACATGAATGGTCTCAGGATGCTTTACTGTTGGCATGACACAGGACTGATGGTAGCGCGCACCTTGTTTTCTCCGGACAAGGTGTTTTCCGGATGCCCCAAACAATCGGAAAGGGGATTCATCAGAGAAAATGACTTTACCCCAGTCCTCAAAGGTCCAATCCCTGTACATTTTGCAGAATATCAGTCTGTCCCTGATGTTTTTCCTGGAGAGAAGTGGCTTCTTTGCTGCCCTTCTAACCTTGCCTCACTTTGCATGCAGAGTTCGTACTGCTTGGTGACCTAAACTGGGATATGCTTAACACCCCGGCCGTCCTACAATTTAAACTAGATGCCCTCAATCTCACACAAATTATCAAGGAACCTACCAGGTACAACACAAAATCAGTAAACGTGGGCAACCTCATAGATATCATCCTGACTAATTTAGCCTCTAAATACACCTCCGCTGTCTTCAACCAGGATCTCAGCGATCACTGCCTCATTGCCTCCGTCCGTAATGGGTCCGCGGTCAAACGACCACCCCTCATCACTGTCAAACGCTCCCTAAAAAACTTCAGCGAGCAGGCCTTTCTAATTGACCTGGCCCGGGTATCCTGGATGGATATTGACCTCATTCCATCAGTAGAGGATGCCTGGTTGTTCTTCAAAAAGTGCTTTCCTCTCCATCTTAAATAAGCATGCCCCATTCAAAAAATTCCGAACTAAGAACAGATATAACCCCTGGTTCACCCCAGACTCGACTGCCCTTGACCAGCACAAAAACATCCTATGGTGTACTGCATTAGCATCAAACAGCCCCCACGATATGCAACTTTTCAGGGAAGTCAGGAACAAATATACACAAACAGTTAGGAAAGCAAAGGCTAGCTTTTTCAAACAGAAATTTGCATCCTGTAGCACTAACTCCAAAAAGTTTTGGGACACTAAAGTCCATGGTGAATAAGAGCACCTCCTCCCAGCTGCCCACTGCACTGAGGCTAGGAAACACTGTCAACACCGATAAATATACAATAATTTCAATAAGCATTTTGCTACGGCTGGACATGCTTTCCACCTGGCTACCCCTACCCTGGCCACCTGCTCTGCACCCTCCGCTGCAACTTACTAGATCCAAACTGTTACATACCTATATCCATCCTGCCCTGCCTTTCGAAAGTATTTGAAAGCCAAGTTAACAAACAGATCACTGACCATTTCGAATCCGACGGTACCTTCTCCGCTATGTAATCTGGTTTCCGAGCTGGTCATGGGTGCACCTCGGCCACGCTCAAGGTCCTAAACAATATTATAACCGCAATCGGTAAAAGACAGTATTGTGCAGCCGTCTTCATCGACCTGGCCAAGGCTTTTGACTCTGTCAATCACCGCATTCTTATTGGCAGACTAAATAGCCTTGGTTTCTCAACTGAGTGCCTTGCCTGGTTCACCAACTACCTCTCAGATAGAGTTCAATGTGTCAAATCGGAGGGCCTGTTGTCTGGACCTCTGGCAGTCTCTATGGGGGTGCCACAGGGTTCAATTCTCGGGCCGACTATTTTCTGTGTATATCAATGATGTCGCTCTTGCTGCTGGTGACTCTCAGATCCACCTCTACGCAGACGACACCATTTTGTATACATCTGGCCCTTCATTGGACACTGTGTTAACAAACCTCCAAACGAGCTTCAATGCCATACAACACTCCTTCCATAGCCTCCAATTGCTCTTAAAACGCTAGTAAAACTAAATGCATGCTCTTCAATCGAACGCTGCTTGCACTTGCCCGCCCGACTAGAATCACTACTCTCGGCGGGTCTGACTTAGAATATGTGGATAACTACAAATACCTAGGTGTCTGGTTAGAACGTAAACTCTCCTTCCAGACTCACATTAAGCATCTCCAATCTAGAATTGGCTTCCTATTTTGCAACAAAGCCTCCTTCACTCATGCTACCAAACATGCACTCGTAAAACTGACTATCCTACCATTCCTTGACTTCGGCGATGTCATTTACAAAATAGCCTCCAACACTCTACTCAGCAAATTGGATGTAGTCTATCACAGTGCCATCCGTTTTGTCACCAAAGCCCCATATACTCCCCACCATTGTGACCTGTATGCTCTCGTTGGCTGGCCCTCACTACATATTTGTTGCCAATCCCACTGGCTCCAGGTCATCTATACATCTCTGCTAGGCAAATCCCCGCCTTATCTTAGCTCATTGGTCACCATAGCAACACCCACCCATAGTATGCGCTCCAGCAGGTATATCTCACTGGTCATCCCCAAAGCCAACATTTCTTTTGGCCGCCATTCCTTCCAGTTCTCTGCTGCTAATGACTGGAACGAACTGCAAAAATCTCTGAAGCTGGAGACTTATCTCCCTCACTAACTTTAAGCATCAGTTGTCAGAGCAGCTTACCGATCACTGCACCTGTACACAGCCCATCTGTAATAACCCACCCAAATTATGCTATTTATTTTTCTAATTTGCACCCCAGTATCTCTATTTGCACATCATCTTCTGCACATCTTTTACTCCAGTGTTAATACTAAATTGTAATAATGTTTTACTATGGCCTATTTATTGCATTACCTCCATAACTACATTTGCACACACTGTATATAGATTTTCATTTGTGTTATTGACTGTATGTTTTGTTTATCCCATGTGTAACTCTGTGTTGTTTTTAAATCGCACTGCTTTGCTTTATCATCTTGGCCAGGTCGCAGTTGTAAATGAGAACTTGTTCTCAACTGGCCTACCTGGTTAAATAAAATAAATAAAAAGATGCACTCACACCTGCCTGCTGCCATTCCTGAGCAAGCTCTGCACTGGTGGTGCCCCGATCCCGCAGCTGAATCAACTTTAGGAGACGGTCCTGGCGCTTGCTGGACTTTCTTGGGTGCCCTGATGCCTTCTTCACAATAAGTGAACCTCTCTCCTTGAAGTTCTTGATTATCCGATAAATGGTTGATTTAGGTACAATCTTACTAGCAGCAATATCCTTGCCTGTGAAGCCCTTTTTGTGTAAAGCAATGATGACAGCACGTGTTTCCTTGCAGGTAACCATGGTTAACAGAGGAAGAACAATGATTTCAAGCACCACCCTCCTTTTAAAGCTTCCAGTCTGTTATTCTAACTCAATCAGCATGACAGAGTGATCTCCAGCCTTGTCCTCGTCAACACTCTCACCTGTGTTAACGAGAGAGTCACTGACATGATGGCAGCTGGTCCTTTTGTGGCAAGGCTGAAATGCAGTGGAAATGTTTTTGGGGATTAAGTTCATTTTCATGGCAAAGAGGGACTTTGCAATTAATTGCAATTCATCTGATCACTCTTCATGACATTCTGGAGTATATGCAAATTGCCATCATCAAAACTGAGGCAGCAGACTTTGAAAATTAGTATTTGTGTAATTCTCAAAACTTTTGACCACGACTGTAGGTGAACGGATGCTCTCCGTATTTGTGGTTCCCACCGTGAAGCATGGAAGAGGAGGTGTGATGGTGCTTTGCTGGTGACACTGTCAGTGATTTATTTAGAATTCAAGGCCCATTTAACCAGCATGGCTACCACAGCATTCTGCAGCAATATGCCATCCCATCTGGTTTGTGCTTAGTGGGACTATCATTTGTTTTTCAGGCTGTGTAAGGGCTATTTGACCAAGAAGGAGAGTGATGGAGTGCTGCATCAGATGACCCGACCTCAACCCAATTGAGATGGTTTGGGATGAGTTGGACCGCAGAGTGAAGGAAAAGCAGCCAACAAGTGCTCAGCATATGTGGGAACTCCTTCAAGACTGTTGGAAAAGCAGTCCAGGTGACTACCTCATGAAGCTGACGGAGAGAATGCCAAGAGTGTGCAAAGCTGTCATCAAGGCAAAGGGTGGCTACTTTGAAGAATCTAAAATCTATTTTGATTTGTTTAACACTTTTTTGGTTACTACATGATTCCATATGTGTTATTTAATAGTTTTGACGTCTTCTATTATTCTACAATGTAGAAAATAGTACATATAAAAACCCTTGAATGAGTAGGTGTGATATATATTACACACACATACATACATACATACTGAGTATACCAAACATTAAGAACACTTTCCTAATATTGAGTTGCTCCCCCTTTGCCCTCTACAAGGTGTTGAAAGCGTTCCACAGGGCTGCTGGCCCATGTTGACTCCCATGTTTCCCACAGTTGTGCAAAGTTGGCTGGATGTCCTATGGGTGGTGGACCATTCTTGATACACACAGGAAACTGTTGAGCGTGAAAAACCAAGCAGCGTTGCAGTTCTTGACACAAACCGGTGCGCCTGGAACCTACTACCATACCCAATTCAAAAGGCACATTTTGTGTCTTGCCCATTCACCCTCTGAATGGCACACGTACACAATCCATGTCTCAAGGCTTAAAAATCCTTCTTTAAGCAGTCTCCTCCCCTTCAGCTACACTGATTGAAGTGGATTTAACAAGTGACATCAATAAGGGATCATAGCTTTCACCTGGATTCACCTGGTCAGTCTATGTCATGAAAATAATGTTTTGTATACACACACACACATCTATATATATATCTATATATATATCTCTGCTACATACTTAGGAAAGTCAGCAATGAGTTTGACATCAGCGATGACCAGCTTGTGCTCCAGTACTAGGTGCTTTAGGAGACGGTCCTTCTCTAACAAAGTGGCGGAGTGAGAGCAGAGCACACAGGTCACCACCTCCATGTCATGATGAGAGGATGAGTTGGTGCCGATGTCCGTAGCAGGCTGCTCAGGGAAACACAGAGGCTCCAGTATCCACTCCTGTTCATCTGAGGGGAGAGAGTGAAACATGCTCTTCTAAAACATTGCTTAATTGATATGATTCTCACCCCTTCTCAAAAATGGCGCATTACAAATATTAAGCAATATGACCAAAAAAGAACAATGCCCTCTTCCGACCTGAGTTAAGCACGCGTAAATTGAACGGAATTCACTTTTTATGCACTTTTCTCTATGCGTATTCTGACCTTGAACTTAAGCATGAGAATAGCATGCTATTCACCTGCTATTCGTTTGGGGTGGAGATCGAATATATGAAGTTGTGGCGGATGTGTGTCTACAGATACGGCATATTCTGACCTTGACTTAATTCCCTAATAATTCCACCACCTTTGCGCGCAAAGAAACCATGAATAAGGTCTAGCAAACCTTCCGGTTTCAAGTGGAAAAAGCATCTACTTTATTTTTTCCCAATAAAACACCATTCTCCATGCACTTTCATTTACATCTTGATAAGAGCTATTGATAAGAGCTACTTAAATTAGTAGTCCATTTGGATAAGGGAATTGTAAATATAAATGACACTTGTTTTAGATCTATTTTACTTTATAAATCGCTGGAGACATGTGAAACCAGTCATATGGCAGCAAACTGTAGCATATCAACTTTACCATAGTAAAGTTGATGAAATGCTGTGCCATTATACAGAATTTAAATTGTATGGCCTTTTAATTTGCAGGGTGGGCACTCTCGAATGTCTTAATTACAGGCTACCCCGACTTTAGCCGTTTTCTATTTCTATCATGTTAAATATTAGCCACCGTCAGTAGGCCTAATAACCACACATTTCAGCTGCCAATTTACTGTTAGTTCCCTTCAGTTGATATAGCCTACATTATCATTCCATTTCATTCCATTGTTTCGTTTACCTTAAATTTGCTTCCTCTGTAAACACTGTCAAGGCCGTGTGGTTGTTGCTGAGGATCATTAGTAATCGTTATGGAGCGGAGCGCAGACCAAGCCATAACAGAGCACGACGCATGGCGCAATACTTGGCCGCGTCATCACACAGTTCCATGGTTAGTGCCGGCAATAAATGAGGGTATAGCCTACTATTGTAAACTTTTCTCCCTATTATAATTCCATGTACACTAATATTCCTACATTGGTTGAAGAATGTGGCAATTTTCAGAATGAATCAAACCACCATTTTCTTTCTTTCGTGTGTAAAGGCTCTCCAAACCTGTTTATTATTCATAAATACTCAACCGAAATAATCTACAAGATCAGACTATTTTTAAAGGCGCTACACAATTATTTTTTTTTTTGCATTATATTATATTTTGTGGCTGAGTTATCTAGTGGAAATCGGGTCAAGTAGCCAATGTAGAAATCGCTCTGTCATTTCCTGGTTGCTAAAAATCCTACACTGTTCGCTCAATTTCAGTTTATGTGAGAAACCAAGTACTGAATCGTGTAGGGAATCATTGTACCATCTAAATCGCTGTGAAATATATTTTCAATAACAGAAAATATCATTTTTACAGTCGTTTGAAGCTGGTGGACCAAAACCGAAAGTAAAAGGCTCAAGCATGAATCTCCGCCATGTTACGGGGAAATATGTTTTGAATGCAGCCTAGTGCTGTTGCAATTCTCCTAGCTTCCACATAGGGGAGAGATTATATGTGTACCACCTTTAAAATCTACCAATTGGTGCTGAAACAGAGGAATATGCATATATTTAGATGGCTTTCTTTCATTGATCCCTAATATTCTGAACCCATTTTCTCGACATATTCTAGTGTCTGTTGACAAAATGCTAACTAAAAAGGTACACCGTATTTAAATGGTTGGCTTAAGATAAATACATGTACTGAAAACCTTGTTGAATGAAAACGCCACAAGAAAATATGTTGGCCAGCAAGTGGGAGGGTCTTCAGAGGTTGAATGAAGTTTAATCAGAGCACGCAAGGTAGCCACAACTGCAGAGCACGTTATGGGACTGAATAAGGTAAGTCTGAATCCCAAATACTGAGAAGTACGTAGGAAAAGGGTAGAAAAGGCATAAGGTTCCTAAATCCGAATCGGCCCCAATGAGTACACAAGCAAGCACAATATCACATTGTGAATAACTGACTCCCCAAAACATTATACAAATTACTTCACTACTTTATTTGTATCAAAGTCATGATACTGTATGAGTAAATCCTGTCAGAATGGCATTTGACAGGTAGGTATAGCTGGCTCAGCTAACGTAGCTAGCAAATTGAACAGCTGGCTACTTCTTTAGCAAGATTAACGTGTATTAAATTAGGTATTTCTTCAATAGGAAATTGCGTTCATATATACCTCTTATAATAAAGACATGGGGAGAGTCATATGGGTTAATTATTTGCGTTATCCAGAGATTAAGTGACACGTACCTGAATTTCTTTTTTTCTCCATGCAGGCAGCCATCTTCAAATGTCACATGGTCAATACAGCTGACGCTCTTCTGTGGGGTTTATCGGCATCCAACGTTATGGTGCATTACCGCCACCTACTGTACTGGGAGGAACTAAATCCTACCTGCCAGCTTAGTTTCTCTTAAAAAATATAACAAAATATTTGTGATTGTATCTAACGATCTTCAACTCAGTATGCTATTTAAACTATATTACAGTATCCCATTCTCCCCGATACTCAGTCTCTATCTTTCCCTATCATACTGCCCACACTGTATCAGCACATGCTCCAATGTCTCTGTTTCCTTGCAGTAATCACACCTTCCTGTTGGATGCTTTCCTATCACATTTAATGGCTTATTATACCGGCGGTGTCCCACCCTTAGCCTTGTAAAAATGGCCTCCTCTCTTCTGTCCCTTCATACCATCCTCCCCTCCCTGACTTTACTATGAACATGGAATAGATGCCTGCCCTTAGTGTCGCTGTTCCACTGCTCCTGCCATCTCTGTACCACCAGTGCCCATATAATTTTCTTAGTCTCTGATTTGCTCATCCATCTCCTCTCTTGGAGAAGGATCATTGATCAATCATAAACATGCACAGTGCATTCCAGCTGTAATGTGTAGAAACACCACTAGATGGTAGTCTTGTAAAGTATTTTTCATTGCATTTTCAAACACATTTCAAATTGTCATTCCCTTTTTTTAAAAGAAAGAAAAAAGATGTAAGCCCAGTTACCCCCCCCCCTCTCTTTTTCCTTATTTCTTTCTCTCTCTCTCTCTCTCTCTCTCTCTCTCTCTCTCTCTCTCTCTCTCTCTCTCTCTCTCTCTCTCTCTCTCTCTCTCTCTCTCTCTCTCTCTCTCTGTCTCTCTGTCTCGTTCTGTCTGTTTGAGCAGAGACATTCAGGTGTGCTCAGGTGTTGCATTATTCAGACAGAGCTTAGAAAGCCTAATTAAACTCCAGGGATTGGAGATAGAGAGAAGGTGGTGGTGGTGATTCAGGGAAGGTGGTGGTAAGGGTACCATTCATTACATTCTATCCATATGCGCCATCCTCCCTTACCAGCCTCCCACTGTGGTGGTGAGGGAGGTAGACTTGTTTCAGCCCACTGTTACCCACTGTGCTCAACCAATCTCAACTCCAAATACTGAAGAGAGAATGGGCTCTTATTATCTGTGGATATAATTATTTCAGAAATAAACCGGTGTCATAGATGGTAATGGCAATCTCACTTTCAAATAGCATCAATGTGTCATGAAGAAGTTCAATCAGCTCCAATGTGTTTCATCTTTGTCCCTCATTTTCTCCTTTATATGTTTTACAAAAAAAAAAAGTGTATATATTTTGCCTGGTCAGACAGAATGTTCATTATTTGACACAATGGATGTGAAAAGAAGCAATCAATACAGTATTGTGTATTACAATAGTGCTCTGGACTCAATCCTACAACTCTGAATTTGAAAACATTTAGAGTGTGTCTGACAATAAGAACCACTATGCTCGACTCTCTTTCACCAGACGAGCCCAAGCTGCACTTTACCTATTAAACTGGAAAAGTCTCCATCCTACCTGTGATTCCAGCAGCCTTTTAGAGTTCCCCACAGTGTTCCGAGGTGTCTAATAACCCCCTCTGTGTGTGCTCACTCCTCTCTCCTGAAGCCCACCTGGCTGCTACTGCTAGCTTCGCACCCGATTGTTGCATAGCAACTACCTGCTCAGCACCTGTTTTTAATCATTTAGAAGTCTGCAGCCTCATTATGTGGGAAGAACCACCCACGTGGGTCGCTGTCTGACTGCCTAGTGTCCAGAAGCAGGATCCTTTTCTTTCAGACTGAGCACTGGTGTGTAACCACCTACTTTAACACATGGGTTGCGTGCCAAATGGCACCCTATTCCCTATATAGGCTAGACATAACTAATGGGGGGGTATCATGCCATATAGCCCCCCAGACAAACATGTTTATGTCTCATCAACGTTACAGTTATGTTGATATATTGTTACCTAACAAATATCAGAGGGCCCTAATGGCTGGTGACTCATAGGTAAAGTGGCCATGCCGTCGATGGCACTGCAGGGTTGGGGACTGATAATAGCTCTTAGATTCTAAGGGTTTAATTAAGCCCTCAAGGAAAATCCAACTCTTTATTATAAGTGAAGCCTTGTCTTCTCCAAATGTGGATTTTGATTTATAAGTGTGTGTGTGTGTATGCTGCCCCCATTTCACACTGTGCTTCTTATCCACCCTCTATTCTATTCAACCATAAGTGACTAGTTTCTCAGGCAAATGCTGCATTTATTAATCTGTTTAGTTCTACACACCCACCCAACAACTGGAAAGTAATTGCTTACTTTCTTTGTAAACAGCTTGTCTGTTGTGTTCAATGGGTAAGCTAAGCAGCACATCTTCTATAAGACCATCGTTTGGCTTCAGTGTGCATTTTCCATTTGCCAAGTTTACATTAAAAAGAAGCATCGCCATTCACAATCAATTCTCTGTTAAAGACTTAAGTTATTTATTCGAAAGCCATAGCGGCCTTTGTTCATTTAATAATGTTCTCACATCGTGTTCAATGCAACAAGGTCTGTGATGATCCTATCCAGATGTCTA